TGTCCTATATGTATAGCATACATATTTCGTCTATTTATAGGATACTATAGTCTCGAACAAAGAGTATATAGTGTATACTCTCTGTTTGAGAGTTCGTCGAACTCGATGACTTGTCAATTGAGAATACACAGTGTATTGCTCGATAGTGGGGCCGACGAACTCCCGATTTCGTCCAATTTCCCCCAACAGGTACGTTACACTCCATCATCACTCTCGTGATGATTATTCGATGGCCGACGCCTCAACAGAAGGTTGGAGGAGAATTGTCGGTTGGGAAGATGTTGTATAATGACAACTGGCAAAAGATATTCGAAGATTCAACAACTCAGGTGTGTTGAAGATCTCCCCCCCCCCTCGATAGCAGTTTACACAGCCTTCAACCACTGCTAATTTCAGGTTGACCGACTTTTATGGTATGTACGACAACTCGTCGCCCGTTGAATTTCGACAACATTACACTTGGATACCATCAGTCGTCTCTTCATCACATCGTTGGACGACAGTTGTCACGCTAAGACGTTATTGTGTTTCACCTCAAGAGGTCTCAGGTTCAATCCCCGCCCCCATCACTTTTTCCAATGATCAGCCTCCAACACCTCCTAGGAGCCCTCGGAGCCATCGTTGGCATGGGCCTAGCCCTCGCCCCCCTCCCCACTATGATAGATATAATCACCAGCAAGTCCACTGGTGACTACACTCCAATGCCATACACCATCACACTCGTACAGAATCTCATTTGGGTTGCCTACGGCCGAGTTACTCCGAACAAAGGCGATATTGTTTTCGCCAACACGCTCAGCGCGACTGTTGAATTCGCATATTGTCTGGTTTTCTGGTTATTCGCTGCCACTTCAAAACGTCGACAACTTCTATATCTCTATTTCGGAGCTACCGCCTTTTTGTTCCTCACTGTCATTGTGTGTCGAGCTGCAGATGCTGGTATCAGTACGAGCATTTCCCTCGGGACGATCGCTAGCATTTTGAACGCTCTCATGTAAGAGGAACCGCATTTCATGAGAAGAACGTAGAACCAGTTCCAAGGTTCCAGAGAGCTCCAATATTGTTCAAAAATCTTCGAAGTGAAATTTCAGCAGTAAAATCAGTTTCTGGCAGTATTTTGAGAGTAACTCACTCGCAATGCAGTGTGAGATTCGTAATGAAGCCACTACGCTCTGGAAAATCCTAAAGAGTTGGTGTAGGAATGTATGCACTTGGTCAACTACATGTGAAAATTTTGGGAGATTATCGTTGGTTTTTATATACTTCTATTTAAAATCGTTTGTGGATTTCTATGATAAAATGAGGAAACTGACGAGCTCAGTTTAGGGAAGCAAACCTACGAGGTGAGTATGCTCAGGTACGGCTCCCCCCTAGCTGTCATCGGCGTCGTCATCAGAACTCGCTCGATTCGCTACATGCCTTTCCTGCTCTCCTTCATGACCCTTCTTTGTTCGATCATATGGTTCGCCTGGTCCGTAGTTGCTCGAGATCTCTTCGTATTTTTACCCAACGTACTGGGTCTAGCCCTTGGAGTGGCGCAGGTTGGCGTTTGGTTTTATTATCGATTCTATGGTGAGAGGGAGATTGCCAATGAAAGAGAGAATGAAGATGACGACGATGATGTTGAGCTCCTCCAATAGGAGTATGTATTATTACAATTTCTGATTGTGTATGTTTGAACCGATTGGAGTTGAGTACGAGTGCAGTGTAGCTCGGCCCTCATGTATTTATCTAACTCTAAGCTCTTGATACCTCGAGGATGATGGTGGCCGAATAGATAGGTTGCCGTTCTCACGGTAGGTAACAGTACATTTGACTACAGAACTCAACTGACTGCGTCAAGTGAAATAAAAGGCTCCCCGATCCAGGAAGAAATACTCCTCAAACGCAAATATAGGTTCCACCGGGATTTGAACCCAGATCGCCAGATTCAGAGTCTGGAGTACTAACCGTTACACCATAGAACCACTGATGATCTTTATTTGTCTACTTGTCATCCTTGAAGAACTGCCAAGCTCTAGACACACTTGATCGTGATGGTATACACCCCAACAGCTACTAGGACTTCCCCTACACTTATTGATGATTGACAACAGGAGTAGACGACAAGTATTCAATACGGAAACTAACGAAGGTTCATCTTCTTATTACTCAATATCATCAGCAGCACGCA